GATTGAAACTACTAATCATCATTAATTTGTACAAAAACATTTCTCGGGTTGAAATCGTCACCTTGATCGCAAATAAATAAGGACAAGAAACTATAATTTAAATATTTTTCCGACAAACAGTAAATAGAATTTGTCTCATCAAAATATAAGAGTAATTATAGTATGAACGTCAAATAGTTTAAATCTATTTCAATAAAAGTTGTAGCTGAAATTCACGCTGTACGATTCAAAAATAATAAGCAGGAATTTTTAGCACAATCACTGTAAGAGTCCGTTATTTGAAAATGTCTGATAGCGGTGTCGCAAGGTTGTCAAAAACTGTAATTTGGTAGTCTAGGCATGCAAAGACCATAAGATGATTTTGACACATCAATGCGTGTTTTATCGATTTCATCTAAGAAAAGGTTCAAAATTTTCCAGAAGTAAAGTGAAGGATTCGAAAGCTGATAAAGTGTTCGTAATAAATATTTCTCAAGATAACAATGCTCAAATATGAACACGGATGTGAAATGACTACCGCAATGTCATCCATGTTCAGGTTTGTCCATGGGACATATTTTTCGGTCCTATCCTATCCCATGGAAATTTATGCCTGTCCCATCCCATGGGATTTCCATTGGAAATAGTTTTCATTAAAAAATTCTAAATTTAGGTTAGTTTAGGTTTAGGTTTAGTTAGCGTTTACTAAATAGCAGGCTTGTCCATGGGAAATATTTTTTGTCCCATTTCAATCCCATTCCATAGCAATTATGCCTGTCCCATCCCATCCCATGGGATTCATATTGGAAAAAAATTCAATAAAAATTGTTAAATTTAGGTTTAGCATCTACTTAATAGGACTACATGTACGAATAGACATGCAAAACAACAAAATTTACGGTCTCTGTTAACTTTATATTCATAACTATTATACATGTGCCCATCGATCGATTGAGCTTCACGAAGTATATTGTTAATGCTAAATAGTTTGCTCTTTATAACTAACAAGAGAGCTATGCTCAAATATATGGAGACGAAGTCTATAACGAAATGTTTCACCATCATTTCACCGAAAATCATACGGTTTTCGTGTCCCACTTGTCCCATGGGAAATACAAATGTGTGCTGTCCTATCCCATCCCACGGGAATCCCATTCCCATGGACAAGCCGGCTAAATAGGACTACATGTACAAAGAGGCATCCAAAACGACGAAATTTATTGACTTTGTTAAATTTGAAAATTCAGAACTAATATATAACTATCAAGAGAGCTATGCTCAAATATGGACACAAAGACCATAAACGAAATGTTTTGTCATCAATTTCCGCAAAATCATACCGCATCGTGAACGAACCTGAACAGCAACGGTAACTTACCGGTACCTGTATCAGGGTACTGGTAACGGTGCGCATACTTTCAAAACTTTTCCAGGTTCTGTAAAGATGATCTATGCTACATGATTCAGATAAAACCGTGTTCCCAGAGTAAAATATGAAGTGAAATTTTGGATGAAATATCAGATCTCATAGCATTCATAGAAAATTTAGGAATAAATCAAAGTAATAGTTTAGGAGAAAAGCTATTTTTTAAACGATAAAAAGAAAAATTCGTGTCCCAGGTGTTCCAATTATCCCTCAACTATTGATTGACATGTTTTACGATTATAATTTAAACTTATATATAAATAACAAACACCAATTGCTATATATATCCGTTAATATGGATTTGTTAGTACACGATACTATCTGATTGTATACCGTTAAAAATATCTTTCCAAGATTAGGTTCTTCTAATGAGGTTTTTCTAGTTGATGAGCTTGTTCAAATTGTTACTTATAAGTAATAGGCACTATATTTATTTATTTTAGCGAATACGATACCTATTAACGAAGTATGTGACCTTGGATAAGGTTCTGGTTTAAAAAAAATTAACAATTTAGTATTTCGCATATATACTGAACTGTGATCCGGTTGTGGCTTTAAACCAAGGATTGATATTCTCCCACGACATCGGGCCTCTTTTTTTTCTAGTTTGTTCGCAGGCGTCCCTTTGAGCATCCAGCTATATAAAACAAGTTTTTCATTATTTTTCAAAAACTGTTTTTCGAAAGCAAGTCCATGTACTGTTATTACCAATTTACGCTAAAGCATATGTTATTTCTTGCATGACCACATGAATTTGTTGCTTTTGGATATCAAAGTGGCGAATAGTAAAAAAAATATTTGTCTACTTTTCGACAGATTGGCAGCAAAGACGATCGATGTTCAGTAATCTAGAAAACGAGAATATTGGTTGGAAACCGAAGACTTATCGATCGATAGTTAGGGGTCCCCTAAAACAGAAACTGCAGTTTCGATTCATCCGCTCTTGTAACTTGCGCACTGCGCATCACACACACATTCGGCGGGTCTCAAAATTCTCTCGCTTTACAAAAATCTAGATCACTATATCATTAATTGATTGATAACTCGCTAATTATACGACATAATTCGCCCAAAATCAATAGGCTTCTGGTCCGAGATAAGATGAATGCACATGCAAAATCTGGAGCAGATTCAATCTCGCTTTCGTGAGATATCGCGTGCATCTAACAGACAAACAGACAAACATACAGACATACAGACAAATACCTATCAACATACTTACCGATTAAAATCGATAAGTAATAAACAGTCGGACACGTAGGATAAATAAATTAGAGAAAAAAATTGGTGACTAATGTAGCTAAAGATATTTTTATATTATAACTGCAGTGCATTACGGTCGTCTGTATATTTGCACACGTGCTACTAAAACTAGATCATAAGTCGATACTATTTGTTACGATTCATTTGTTTCGTTCATTTTGGCATTTCTTAGTGTTGGATATTTGACATCATATCGCTTAGAAAATATAATTTACCTTACCACATTAGGTGTACAAGAATAATGATTTGAAATATCTACGAATCCGTCTCAACCCGTTTACTACAGAATTAAAATAGAATTTATTGGCAGCAATCGTATATTACTTGCTCCTGTAAACCAAACACGACATATTCCCGGAGGCGGAATCGAGTGGCGCGTTTCTCAGTCATGGTGTTTAGACCTCACGAGGAAATACCCACTTGTGGAAACTGAATTATTTTGATGGATGGATTATATTGTATGGATTTGACGAAAATAGCATATATGACTGACAATAACCAACGATTGTTAGTTCGATTTTTGAAGATACGCTTTACATGTTTTATTTAATGCAGAACAATTCTCATGAGTAGAAATGCTCAAACGTATCAAAATTAACACGTCACTACATTTTTATTCTACTATTCAAGAAATTGTTTTCTAGTATTTGGTGTTTCGTATGAATAAAACTTCTAAACAATAGATACGAAAGTGGGAACTGTTGTGTCAAATTTTTTTTACTCTGTATTGTGCTCTGTGTGCCTGTATAACGAATGGAATTGATTCGAGAATATTTACAAAATATCATTCTACTGTTAAGCTATCAAATAAAGATATATATACAACTCTATTAGCTATGATTTCGATGGTGTTCATGCCATCATATTTGGGTTTATCAAATTTACACATAATAAACATTGAACTTTATACACTCTTCAATATGAGCGTATTGAATGGACAATTTCTCCCTTTTTCAATCCGACTTCCGTTGTAGAATGCCACAGCAAGTCATTGACGACGTCACAAATCCACGAGCTTATGTCTACCTGCTCGATATCGATTTGAAACTTCGTCCATTAACATCCTGTCTCGACTCATAACATTACGTATACATTATCACGCCGAAACGGAAAATGATATTGTCAAACAATATGCGAAAACTTTACCGGAAATGATGACAGGTAAATTCATAGCTTTATGACGTCAAATAGACGTATTGTTTCATTTGCTATTGTCTGGAAAGTTACAATAATGTTGAGGACCGAAACTATTTTGGCGTCTAGAATCTACACCGTTTGTCGACCAGACTTAATACATATTTTGCGGCTGTATGTATATACTTTGCGAATGGCATCGGAAAACGGAAACTTTAATAGCTAAAAGTCTTTTTGGTATATTTACGAATACAGCCAACCTGATTTATCGAAATATGTTTTTATTTTCAATAAAATTAAGTTAGAACCTTTCCCTTTTGGAGAGAGACGCAAAGACCATAACAACGACAGGATTTCTGTCACTATTATACACTATTGCATTCCAAATATTTTATACAACTTGTACGATAATTTAGTCAATTTCGATCAGAATGTAATCTGATATTAGTATGAGACTTCTCTTCGTGATCCTCATATGGGGCGTATAAAAGATGTGTTTTGCAAATTGCAAAATTAAATTATAAAAATAATAAAACTCATTTATTTCATAATATTTAGAAGATTTTGTGTGAATCGCGCATCGAAGCCTTGCCAAAGTCCAGGTTGGTTTTATTTACGCGAGCAATCATAAAAGATTCAAACCCTTTGGTAATTCATTGAATTAGTCCGAAATATTTTTTTCTAACTGCAAGTCTAGCTCGGTCCATTATACGGGCAAAGCAAGTTTGTATATCATGCATAATAAAAAGACAGATTCGAGTCCTAATTTTAAATATACCCCCTCTATTATGGCACGAGATAAATTACAATCAGAAAGATAATTCCATTGTTCTACAAGCAATATAGGCTAATGCTGTCGCAAAATTGATTTTATATATATATTGACGTCCTCGCCATACTTTTTCCGTATCGTCCATCATATGAGTATGTAGATGAGACAAATATTGTTACATGTTTCCATCTCCCATTTTATTGTTAGCGTGAAGATTCTTAACTTCATTCGCTCACATGTAACAATATGGCGCTATAGGATTTGCGCAAAGAGAGACTGACCAATGTCTTCTATACTGCTCAGGTTCAAATATTACAAATTTTTTTCTTGAGTTCAAATTATACTATTTACTACACTGCCATTTTACGTTTCTTTCCTGCTAGTCAACGATCAATCTTTCCGTTATATATATATCGGATTATTTTATTTTCCATAAATTATCATTTATTTCAAGTTGAAACTGTGGGTTAGTTGATATTTAAAATAATAAATAAATAAAAATAATCATAACATATCTCATGGCACAATGAACAATAAAAAACAACATTTTTCTCATAAAAGATACCGAGAGGTTTTAAGTTATTTCAAGCCAGTGGATAATGACGGAGGCCGCTCTTTATCATGGCTTCCGATTAACTCTTGGGAGATGATAAATATGATTGGGCGATAATGATGAAGCTACTATTCAATTTGTGCTTCTTCACGTTCATGTAACAAAGTTGTTTGTTGTAAAAAAATTGTTGAAAAAGTTATATTACTGTGGGTTAACTTTGACATTGCGGGAAGTTTTATGACAAAAATATACAAGTAAAAAGCAATACAGTGTGAGTACGATTATTATTGAAGATTTAAATATGTCACAGTGGCCGCATTCGTAGTATTCCATCAAGTACGTCGTATTGGATTGTCGAAAATAGTAATATAAGCTGTTCCGTTAAGGTTTTTGAATAATTGCTTCGCAAGGTCAATACATTTAAGTGCGCTTCGACCTTCTCTTGAAGGCATTGCGCAAGAATGCGGCGCTGTTGGACAAACTAAATTGACGACTTGATTTCGAGTTTATTTCTTTGCTTTGTTTAACGTTTGCATTTATGCATTGGTCAGGAGTGGACAGATTGGGACAGCTCGTCCGATGAGGACGGGTGGGTCGTTTGCGTTGCGGACGGGAGAACAAATCCGAGAGGACTCAATTTTCTTGTTCTGGGCGGTTGTTCTTCTTCTTTCATATTTTCTGGAACTGTGCTCTCACATGACGTAAGAGAAATTTTTTGGCGAGATTGTGTTTCCTTTTTCCAGAAGTGTTTCGTGGTCGCTTTCTGGTTCTCCCTTTTCTTCTTCTTTATCCGACAAAGAAAGGTCTGAGCGTGATGAAGACAACGAATCAGAGCAGCTGGATTCTTCAGAAATGTCACTGGATGGTACTTCCGAGTTTGTCATTACGCAAATAAATTCATTGTAGCTCACTCTACCGTCCCCATCCCTGTCAGCTTCACGAATCATGGGCCTGTAACGAGAAAAATGAAAAATATAAATATATTGCAAAGGATTTAAAAAAAAAAATCAAAAAATATTATACAGCTCATTATATATGAGAGGCATGAATTTAAAACTCATTCTTATTATCACACATGCGTATGAATAATCGAAACAATTTGAAATATTCAGCTTGGCAGAACAAACGACATGTCATATTATAAACACACTTATAAATATTTAACTAGGAGTTATTTATGACATCACTCACCGTGATTCATTTTCAGAGATGTCGTCACCAAGTCGCAAGAGCAAATCTTTTAGCTCTTCGGCTGTTATGTAACCGTCACCATCTTATCGAATTGGGCGGAAAACGAGATACATTTCGTCTTCTGGTATGCAGTTCTGTAAAATGAGGAAAATGATTAATTATACATTTCATTTTCACAACACATAATACTATTTGGTCCCGTTTTCAAAAATGTGAATCGTCGATACATTTTACATAGAAATTTATACAACGGATTGTATGAAATTTTAATGAAATTGCTTTTCGGGTTTGAGATAAAATTTAATGCGTAAGTCATCAGCCACTCCTCATTAGTAATGTACGAACGAGGAGGCGTTCTATATCTAGCGATCAGTTTCACTGATACAGTAAGGAGAATAATCTCGCGATGAATATATCTGGCCTGGGGCATTATAAATTAGCCTTATTAGGAGCGTTCATGTTTATTTTCAATTTATGTATACTTCATAATTGCGCAGTGAGAAATGTACTGCTGTGCGTCTTTACAGACACGAAACTGTGAGTTTGCGTCTGCGATTTTGAAGCCTTTTGCAACGAAACCGAAACTATAGCAATGGATATTATATTTAATCAAAATTTTTGACTTACCGTGACCATGGTTGATAATACGGGCGAGGTATTCTTTGAAGTCTACAAATTCAAGCAGTTTTTGGTAGATTGGGCTCCTATTAATTTCTTGCAACACTATCCTCACGTGTTCCATCGATACATTTTGTCCCATGTTTCGAAGAGTCGTAACAACATCCTGCAAATTTATACATACCTTTTATTAGCAATCAAAGTTTTCATAATTAACTTTTGTTATAAGTACACTTGATTCAAAATTGTATTTATTTTACCGAGCACTATTTTATGTAAAATTTGGTAATTAAGTGAATAAAAACTCTCCCCAATCAGGAAACATTCGCTTACCTCTAATTTGATTAATCCAGTTTTTTCAGGATCAAAAAATCGAAATTTTTTTCTGAAGTCCGCCAACAATATCTCTGGCATATATTCCTGCATAACTTGCCATGTTGTGTAGTCATATGCGGCTGTATTCATTTCTAAGCTCTTCATGTCCGCTTCGTGTATCGTTGCCAAGACCAGTGTATATCCAGCACGTTCAAAATCAAAGACTGGCATCATAAATCCACGCACGGGCTTATAAACCCAGCGGCAGTGTCAAATTATTCTACTAATCCGTGCTGTCTCGGTCGTGCTATTCTAGCGTAATTAAAATTTCTGCATACCAAAAACAAGATTAATTACACCTTTACAGAGGTTACGTTGTATCGGCAATATGACAAAACAAATTCTTAAATTTTAATTATTTTAATGATTAAAAAGAATTTCAAATTCTATAGTTGCCGTAATATAGCAGAACATGCTATGACAACTTCATATTTAATTTCAATGGCTTATAGTAAACAAAAAAATTTCGGTCATGATATCCGCGAAGACAACTTGATATTTAATATTGGAATGTTTCAAGCATGAAAATCCTAAAAATAAAGTTTTTTTCATAAAATGAAAATATATTTAAAACGGACTATATTCATGATAAACCATAATATAATAAAATAGAAATCTTATTATGTGCACAATAACATAATGGTTAATGAGCCAAGTATAACATATTTCGTAGGTTAAGAATCACCATCTCTTTCAGATTGGCATAAGTTGGTGCAAAAGTAGATAGATATTCTTAGAAACGTGCTTGTAAAACACCACAAACTATTTTTTGGTTTCTTTGAACATTGACGTTACTTGGAGAATAAAAATATCAACTTGCTTAATAATGTAATAACATTAAAATCAGTTTCAGTTTGAATCCAGTCTAAACTGCGAATTAACCCCACAATATTTGTAATATTTACAACTTCTATATCCATTACAACATTATTTTATATAACTATTATAGAAGTATATATTGACATATATAATGAATAATTTAAAATCTTTCAAAGAAATACCAATTTTTGCAAACATACTAAGAGTATATAGAATATGCTTTAGCACATCAGTACTTTCATCCAGCTATTAAATAAATCAAACCTTAATTTATCAGTTTTCGCGTATTTTGAATAAGGAAACACATTCGTTCATTTTTAATATTGTTCAGATGGAGAGAACTCGAAATCCAATACAAGAGGTAATTTCATAAAAATCGGATTACTTTCGCTGTATAACCTCGGATGCGTCGGGTTCATTTTAATTTTTTTTGAATACAGTAAACAGACTACGTCTATGCTATATTATCCATTCTATATTAAAAGAAGAAAAAGAATCGAAGTGACCAGATTTAATTAATGTCAACACCATGACTGCTGATGATCAAGTTATTGAAAGTGAAAGTACAAATATCAAAACACGCATAGTTTGTCGATGCGTGGGCGCGACGTTCACCGACTGGTTTTTGAAACCGCATATTTTATTTGCATCGCAGATATCTTGAGTTTGAATCACTAGTGTCTGAGCTCAGACTAAACTCTTAAGTGGTGAAACAATTATGCGAGTTCGCATATACAAAAGTAGCCATGAAAATAAAAAAATTTTGTTGACTACACGCTTCACACTTTTTGACTTATTTGCTGTCAAGGTTCAAGTTAAATTCAAATGCTCGAACACCAACCACTTTAATAAATTGAAGAAAAAATATCATCACTATTTACACCAATCAATTGAATACGACAATAAAAAACTTTCGACATACTTACAACTGACTTTATATCGGTAACTGAAGTACAGGCATTTAGACGGTGTTAAATATATCAACCATACTGGCGTATCTCCTAAAATACACATTAACAGTAAGTACAACAGAGATACCGCTGACATATTTCACTATATACTCCAATACGTGGTCGACAAAAGAAATTGTGTAACATATTCTGATCGCATATGATCTAATATTATACAAAGCATTAGTACTAGTATTAGTCAGTAAATATCAAGCAACGTCATAAATTTATGATAAATTAGGACAACGTAAATAAAAGGTGTTTATCTTTACTTGTTATTAATAGTATCAATTTGATAAGAATTTATTTTGTTATCAACAGTCTTGTGGATTAACTACTACCACAATATGTAATCATCTGCAATGATACTATTCACTCAGTTTCGACTATTGTATTCATTCTCTAATCCACATCTTACTACAAGTGTATTTGAATGAAGCGTTACAACATTTTCGTATATCATTTCCGAAACAACCTAATTCTAAGCGGCGATACTAATAAGCTGCTATCATACTCAAAACCTTTTAACTTGTTGCAAACGAAAACATAGAAACTTCATTTACCCTGTAATGCAGAATTGGAACCCTATTTCATGGGTTCTTCTTATCTTGCTTTAGTTGATGTAATAATAAGAATATTCTCGGCTTGAATATTAGTGTATTTTTTTTATTAGCAGGACGTTGTTCATCCTACAAAATTGAGCCAGTCTCCCGTGTAATTGAAATAAGAAAAAGTGATTTAATGAGAAGTTTTCAATAATAGTGCTGTGAGAGTGTAAGGGAACGAACGGGGAAGGGAACAAACAACAAAACATGCAGTTGAAATGTGTAGGCCGGCGGTTCTCAAACTTTTGTTCGTGAGGCGCCAAATAATTAGGGGAAAAAATCGCGGCGCAAATAGAAATACTGCTTTTAAATAAAACTTAATTTTTTTTATCGTTATTGGGTACTTTATGAATTTTAAAGTTTGTAAACATATAAGCCTAAGAAATAAAGCAAAAGGCAATTTCTTTTTCTATTCTTCCCCATCTCTGCCCGATTTTTCTTTGAAATGCCGATAAAATCTCTCATGTTCGCTAAACTCGGTTCAGCATATAAATAAATTGCAGTTCGCGAAATTGAAGCAGATAGTGCCTACCTCTATTATTACGTAACAGTAGGGGCAGAACTACGTAACAGAAGGTAAACGACATAGAAAGGTAAAATGAATTTATTGATCCATCTACAATCTACAATCTACAATAAAACATTTATAATAAATACAATATGTAAAATATTCAATCATATTTTAGTTATGTTTAACACAATTCTGTTACTTTTCGCGGCGCTTCAAGCGGCGCACTCTTTGGGAACCGCTGGTGTAGGTGCATGCCAATCAATAAATCAAATATCATTGAACTTATGCTAAGGTTTTAAAATATGTTAATACGTTCATCATGAGCTACTGTGATCCCTAGATCTCACGGCGTGACAATGGGAGAAATGCCTATATTTGATTTTGAATCTAAATTATTTTGTAAGCCGACCCTGATTCTATGCAGCGCATAGATCGCAACCTACATCGATTGTCATTATTTCAATGCAAAATATTCCTAAATAATCTCCCTTTACCTGAACGGAGAAGGTTTCGAGATGCCAGTAAATCCAATCATTTTTCCACTTTGCATTTATTTCAAAACAATCATACCCACTGAACTACAATAGTTGCGCAATACATATGCAATTTTTGTAGGCAACCTCGTATCGGTATATTTTCCCATATTATATGAATATATGCGGTTCGTGATGCAGAGGCGTTCTCGTGTAGTAATTTATTATTTCAGTTGTCGTCGTAATATCACGCTCGCTTTTAATAAGGATTTAATGGCTATATTCATGATGATTCGCTATTTTCGATCTGATCTGATAAAAATCAACAACAATCCGCAGTGACTTTATAAATATGAAAAACGAATATGAAAAATTCGATGTTATTTGTTATTTCTGGACTGTTTTGAGGCTCTTTTTTGAATGAATGCACAATGAACAAAACGAATATAAAATATTTGTAATTAAAATTTTCAATAGATGAATGAAAAAAGAAACATCCTCTCGTGAGGTTGAGAGTCGCCAACAGATCCCCAGGTTTGTTACATTTTTAGCATACTGCACATCCATCTTTATGCAACTCACTAACTACAAAATCGTATAACTATTTTGCTGGATTCGATCCAAAAAACATAAATTTATCCAAATTAACAATAAGTTATAATCTATTACTTTCCATGTATTTCTTTCGTTTGTTTTTTTTCTCACGCAGCATCAATCTATGCATATTGACCTTCTGTACCCAAATTTTACATTAGCATTCACTAAAAATTGGTGATAGTTTTATCTAAAGACATCTGTTGTCCGCTGAATGCGTACTTCGTCCTGGGTCAGGCAGTTTACGGATTGCGACATAAAGTCATGCCCACACGCTTTATCCATGCTCGAAGAACGACCAACTTGAGGTTTAATCCAGGTTAGAATCCGGGTTCCTTCAATTTAGCGCAAAATATGACTTACGTCATTGGTTACCATGGCGCTTCACGCCTAAAGTAAATACGAGAATTCAATTACACGGATGTGGTGGTTCACACCAGTATGTAGAAATGATTTTACTTCTTGGACAAGCGGCCAGTGTAAACATACCATGTAAGCAGAACATGATATATTTATTCTTTATACCTAAACATAATTCGCTACATATTACTGAAATTTGCGTACAATTTATAACTTGATAAACTGAATTGTGTACTGTACTTTACATCTTTACAACTTGGTTGCAGTGAGCAGTACATATTAAAAAGGCAATGCAAAGTAACTGTGTAACACTGTTTTCCGTATTATTATAGTAGTAACTGCCAAAATAAGTTATGCAGGAAATGGTAAAGTAAAGAAATCAAAAAATATCTTATACTAAACCCAATAGGTTATCAAATAGTTTGTTTACATTACCACACCGTTTTAACGTTAGTAGATGTATAGCGATTTATTTCACTCCCTGTTCATTCATTCATGTAAGTATAAGAATGTAGATTCATATAAACCGATATCTTCGAAGGTAATCTAAAATCTTAAAGAAAACTATCGGGTTCAGTAGGACTTAGAAAAATATTAACAAAAGGCAATTCTTTATATTCAAGATTTAAAATTTGAATGCGATTAGTTCTTTTGTAACCATATGTACACTGCTTGTTACAAATATTATGAAATGCTGTATATAGTGTTTTTTGCATTAATTAGTGTTAGATAACTAGCATCTCATTATATATTTTTCTAAGAATTTCTCGAGAAACGATTATTACGTGACATAAATTCATTCACACCTGGAGATATTTTTACATAGCTTACTGACACGTGCCACCACTGCATTATGCTCTTTTGTGATGTTTTTGTTTATTACTCTTTGTAGTTTGCACGCGGGCATGCTTGTAGAATGATTGTA